ATGGTAGCAAGTATGTACATCTATAGATAGGCAAGAAAGCACATTGGGCTTCGCATTAATATTCTATTATTGAGTGACTGACTAGAAGAATTTTTTTACTGAAAATTTTTACTAGGAAACATTTTTTACTGAAATGTTTCCTTTTGAAAGGAAACAGCTTGATTGCCCAACAAAAAGGAATGCAAAATAGGAAATATTTACTTAATAAATATGTCATCATTAAAATAATAATAATAAAGACCACATGTCTCAATTACCTTTTTTCAACCTTAGAATTAATTGGAGTTAGTCTCAGATTATTGTTTTCAGTCTTTGTTCTCACTATTATTAAGAATTTTTTTTTTTATGCTTTGATTTCATTTCTGAGAGAGGCCACCGTGGGTGCCAGCTCACTGCCATGTGGAGCACGAACTCTGCTATTACACAGATTTCTCAAGGTATGACTTTAACGACAACAGCAGAAAACTTTTGTGAGCAACATGACAAATGGAAATGTAAGCTATACGGGAAAAGAGAACTGAGGCCATTATTGTTTTAGGGAGTACAAATGACCACATTTTGACAATTTTCCCTCTTTTCTGTTTAATATATCCAGCACTGGCAAGAACAGCCCGATGAAAATACCTCAGAGATCAGCATTCTCTTTTCCCCACATAAGGGTAATACCTTCCACATCTCCCCAGGTCTGCTGCTTATAGACAATTTTATTATTTACCATTTATCAAATTGCTGCAGCACTGCACACTGAGAGAACACATAAAAGACACGTTGCCTGACCATATTTTTCCCCTGAGCATGCATGCCCCTCCCACAAAGGACCGGCCAATGATGATTTTGGAGTCTGGAGCGAAGATTGGTGGCCGAGACTAGAGCAGGGCTTGCAAACTTATTAGCCTACAGGGGCCAGACAGATGAAATCTCTTAGCAAATAAGGTTCAGTACCTGCTTATTAAATACATCTTTACAAATATCTTTGATAATCAAGACTATTCATTATCACAAATAAAAATGTTCTTTCTTTTTTTCTTTATAACAGGACTCTCTTGATGTATCTTCTATTTTCCCACTTTTTATAAAATTATGACTTAAGGAAATGTGTCTCAAATATAAGAAAACAACATGGAAGGCATGATAACAAATAACAGCAAAAGTCATTTGTAGCCAACGATACATTTATATAATAAGGAGTGGTTGGAAATTTGAATTTTTATAGGAAATATGGTCCTAAGTGATGGCAAAACAATTAGATTCTATTGCATGGGTTACTGTTAAAATATATTTAGGGGCGAAGTTTGATCACATGTGGCCTCTGACATGGTTTTATGTAGCATACAGTTTTTTTGTTTTTGGTGGGATTTTATTTTTTGTATCTTGGTTTCGAGATTATTGCCAATTACTATTCTTATCTGTTTCACTTTTAGCCCATGTCTAAGGGAAGGCTCAGGCAATAAGGTTTTAGAAGCTCTGCAAATAACTCTCACGCTCCTCTGGAGTGAGAGTGGCCAGGAGAAGCAGCTGGGTAGGGAGCCTGGATGAGGTGGATTGTTTAACTGCGTGGCTGGGGAGGGTCGAAGATACGATCCCTGACTACAGGGAGGCAGTTGCGAAGGATGCTTGAGCTCATCAGTTGCCATGTGCCCTGTATGAGTAAGACCACGTCAGTGATAGACTAGGACACTCCGCACAGTCTAAGAAAAGACTATAATAGGTCTGGAAAACATGAGCAAACTTGACCCTGGACTTTTATATTATTCCGTGGAGCAGAGAAAAGTAGCCAGGTATCTCCATGTTTTTGAAGAAGGAGCCCTCACCATTCCTCAAGCACCCTTTGACTTGATCGCGTTCACTTAGCAGACTTCTAATGACTAAGCATACTCTACAGAAGCTGTAGCATTTGGCAGGGACCAAATGAACGCAAGCATTCTAGTCACTGGGAAGCAATCTTTCCTTATTATGGGTTTAATATTAATAGATTGGAATTGGGTATAATAAGTCAGTCCTCTGTGAGCCTGGATTACGTAACTCGGACTTTGCAACCCTGATCAACTCCAAGCGCACTGACAAAATTCGGTTCTCTGGCTTGCAACATTGAAGAACAAACTCCTGACTTCCACGTGAGGCTCAATTTTGGGAAGGGGGGTTGTAAGGGCAGTGGTGGCTTATTCTGTGACACGAATCCTCGGGATTTTCTAATTTCAAATCCAACTTGGGAAAATTGATTTTACAACTATTTTGATGGAAAATTTTATCTGTGATCCAAAGTCCTCAGTATTTTTCCTTACATTTTTTCAAGATGTGAAAATTGAATTGAAGAAATCTGTTGAGTTCCCATGGAAATGGTGCCAATGAGTTTTTTTTTTCTGTTTCTCAGGAAAATTCCTTGACTTAGCAATAATGTAACTTCCTGGCAATCCCTTGGCAGTCTTGAACTCAGAGCATTTGAAATGCTTATACTTTCAATGGGAAAATAGTTGGCTCTCATAACCCCTTTTCCTTCCAGACTACAGAGAAAGAATTAAATAATTCCTTTCGCTTTCTTTACAGAACTTGTCTAATCCCTGTAGAAAATCTTGACTCTCACAAACATTTCATAAAAGGCCCTTTTCATTGTTTTCTACCAAATAAAGAAATTACCATTGCTGAAGTATGTATTTGTACTGCTTTCATATTATACCACGAAATCCCAGAATATTTGAAGAGTGTTTATTAATTCAATAATAAGCAGTTTTCATTGCCTAGTATATTCCATGGACTGAATGGTCATAATATCTGAAATGATTTAGAGAAATATAGTTGAATGCAATAAATCCGTTTAGGTGCTTAAGTACTTCATTCTTTTATTTCAAAATATTCCCAATTATGTCTAGTTATCTTTTTTTCTCATGCTAGATTCTGATTTCCCTGCAGATTGTAGTCATCAGGGAGGGTTTTTTTTTTTTTTTAATATTTCATGAGGTTTTATGTTCCCTTAGTCTTTACAAATAGAACAATATTCTGTTCCATTCTAGTAAATTACTGATGTCCAGGATTAAAGAACTTTAGGGAGGCTGCTGTAAGGTGACTTACCAAAAATATCTTTGATAAGTTGAATTTCAGTATGTAGAGAGAAAAAATTTCAGATAAAATATGATTAAACTTATAGTTTCCTAGTCCCCAAAGTTTTAAAAATCTAGTGATAATTGATCTTAATGATGCAAATTAGGTAGCAAAATATGGATAGATAGTAATCCAATAAAAGGTTGTATAATTAGGTCCTTGGTTCTCTTCACCACTCTCTCCTCCTCTTTTTTGGGTACTAACATGGGTACCAATTTTCTATACAAATGGTAGAATGATGATTGGGCTTTCCTGGTCTTAATGGATACAAGCACCTTTTCCTGACGTTGCTTTCTGTGGGGCGGCCAGAAGGGTAATTGATAAGATCAAGTGTTCCAGGGATTTCTTCATCACACTTGATGCTTGTCACTTTTCCCTCATCTCCTGTGGCCCTCTTCCTATTTTCCCCTTAATTCTAACGGAATGTAACGAAAACGTAATTGAGTAATTTATAAGAAAAATGTTCAGGGGCGTTTCTCCCAAAGAGCTCAAAGCATCTCCTCTCTTTATTCTTTGCAAAGCTTTGTGGGCTAGGTGGGGGAGCCCAGGTAGGAATAACCTTATCCACTGTGCTTGGTTTGTCAGCAGCTGTTCCGATCCTAACTGTGCAGCGATCTCACAGAGAGCTTTGCATTTATTTCTTGAGAGAGCTAAAGGCACACTGGGAGGATTATAGTAGACTTAAAAAAGATCTATCCCCCCAATGTGAAATCACTAAAAATGGAAAACTGCCAAATAAAGAGAGTTTTTTGCAGGACAGTTGACAAGCAGTCTATGCAAGTGATTCACGGCAGAACAGAAGCTCAGTTTCATCACGCGTGACCTTCAGCCGCCATGCACTGGACTGGAAGAGTGATCTGAGTGCAAACTCGCTGCTGTGGGAAATGCCACCTGCAGTGATGAGGGGAGACCTCTCCCGGAAGAGCCCACCTTTGTCTGGAGGACGATTCGCAGTGCCCCAGGAGCAGAGCCACTGAGGTTCGGTGTTTCACAGTTCAGGGGTGGCAGGGGGTGGCACGGTCCACACTCAGCCCTCTCCACGGCCGCACAACAGGAGACCGAGGGTGGGGGTGCTTAGTGGCCGCCGTGGAATAACTTCCGGGTTCATTTTCACGTCTCTCTTAACACTTCCCTGGCCCCAATTTCCAGGTAATATCCTCGGTTGGAGTCATTGTGACGGGTGGGCCTGCAACCGCCTGCCAATTACCAGGCCGGCTAACGCGAGCCCTACTTCTGCTGCCTTGTATGTTGTTCATTTTTGAATATGGAGTAAGGTCTTATTGTCAGAAAAAATTATAATAATTTGTGGGAGTCTCTCCTTTCAATAGAACACAAGCAATTCATGGAAAACCGGAAGCACAAAATATTCCTCCTGCGGGAGATAATTCTGCGGCTACAGTTCTCAGCTCTTCTCTCTGAATGACAATGAATTGCTCCAAAAGTGTTGGATCAAGTGCCGAAGGCAAGAGAATGGTGGGGAGAGGGCGTAGTCTTTGACTGGCACGTGAGACAGAGCAGGGACAGCCAACGCTGGTCCCCTCCTTTGGGGAACAACCATCACCTCTCCTACCACGTTAAATTCCAGAAACTTCCCTCGACAGGTCTATGAAAATGTGGCCTCTGAGGCACATGAGAGAATTATTCTGACTTAACCTCCCCGAAGCCCTTATAGCAACATCAACAACATCACCGCAAACATCTGACAAAGCCATTGCCTGCCCTTGGTAATTAAAATAATTTTTTTCACTGATTTTATTATGGAGACATTATATTTGGGCGAGACACTAACTTAAGAGCAAAATCAATCAAGCACACAATTACTTCTGTCCTACGATTCAGTATTCATAAGATTTCTTTAAATCTTACTTAGAGATTATTAAACAGACTGAAGTTAGTGTCAGTACCTTGTTTCTTAGGAACAACATGAAACTTGTCGTCATCAGATTGTCTTCTGGGTGTCTTTTTTTGGAACACTGTAAAAAAATACAGAACATTTATTTAACATAAACAAAACCAAAAAAACCCATAGTGTAGAAGTCTCCAGGAAGCTAGAGTGCAATATATCATTTTCCTTAGTAACAATTCCCCAACTGCACTATTTTTGAGTAGGAAGCTTATTAAATTTATAATTTTCTCATTTGTGCAGCCCATCAGTCATTTCGGAAAGCATTTTCTTTGAGCAGAGGGGTATAACGCTGATGGAACGCCGCACTAAACCATTTAAATCAATATGTGATTCCATTTGATATCAGCTTAAAATAAAAGCAGCGTTGTTAAAAGTGATAAATGCTAAAATCACATGAAAAATTTCATTTGCACAGAAATTACTCATGCTGCCTTTTTGGCGATAAGCGAGGAGAATGACTGTTTCTTCTTGAACAGAGTAAGAGACTGTTGTAGCTCAGACGCAATAATAAAAAGCCACTTTATTCTTGCATCAACTGTCCAGACCTCAGACCTATTAAAGCAGCTTATTCGAATTACTTCATTATCTGAAAAGTGCTTTGTTCTCATTTATTTCTCACACGACGTTCTGGGAGACACGTCAGCATTACTCACCCCATTTTGCAGATGAAAGATAAAATTGATTGTTTAATATTTATTGAGCACCCGCAAACTTTCGTACAGCTTCTGGCATTTGTTAATGGAAAAGTCCAGACCCTTTGCAACTTTACTTTAGAAAATGAACATTCCAGAGTTACACTGATTTTTTTTATAGGCAGCCTGAATTACAGTGTTTGGGAACTGGAAGAGGCCTTGGAGATTTAGCCCAAACTCGTATGTTTAAAGATGAGGGAGGTGGAAGTAACTAGCTTGTACGAAGGCTAAGTCATTCTGCAACGATCCCAGAGGCATTGTTAGTAGAGATGCGATTTAGACCCTCAAGCCTTGAACTTCAATCTATTGCTTGGTTCCTTACAACACTGCTGCCTCTTCCCTTCCAGAATTCTTCCCTTTCAAAGGTAGAGAAGCAGACAGAGGAGAAGATTAAAAGAAACCTTAGAGCATTTCCCACATGGCTGTATCTCTTACTCCTTTTAGCAGCTCAACAGGATTTCCTAGCATGGCTGAACGGAGGCGTGAGGGAGGGAGTGCGCTCCAGCTGGATGGGGCTGGACCACTCCCACTGGGAGAAGCATCCCAACAACGAGCCCGGATCTCTGTCTTTGGTCTTAATATTCTTTAAACCCATCTAACACGTGAAATAGACAATTATCTACAAAGCATACATAATTTTCCAGATGCTGTTACGAGAAAGGGTACCCCCTTCTACTGTCCTCTTTCAAAGAGAAGAGGCAAATAGATTTTCAAAATATGATGTGTTTGAGAAAAAGTATACATTGAAATAACATTTCTGGTTGAAAATCAGTTTTCTGCTCCAAGTTAGTATTTGGAAAACTTGCTAAATACAACTAACTGGTAAGTTCTGGGTTTGAGGCTTACATTTTTCCTAAAATAAATCGAGGAATACATGGTATGTGAATATATTTTAGGATATTAAAAGAATTTTTAAAGAGGTGCCTGTTTTTTTCCCCATTGGCCAGTTCTAAAAGTCTTCTAAAAATGCAGTGTTTCGAAATTTTAATAACATGCGCTCTCTGTGCTCTTTTGCCAGTATTGTTAAGATATAATTGAGAATGTCTAAGGCTAAAAAGCTGTAATCTGGCCTCATTAATCAGGCAAATGACCCGAATCCAAAGATAAATTCAGATAATAAACTCTTCAAATAAAAATTACATTAAGTGATAAGAATTACATTAAGTTTTAAGGATTCTGCTGAGATTTGAAGCTGCAGAGTACTTGAAAATGAGTTATTTTCCAGCTTTTGGCCTTAATTTGTTAAAAATTACTTTACACCCTATATTTTATTGGAATATTTTTGCTGATAACAAATGCTCAGCCTGTGTAAAATACAGTAAATGCTAAACAAATAAATGCTCTCTATCAGTTACTAGACTATGAGCTTACAGGTAGCATATTTATTTATTGTTGAGATTTCACCAGGGCTTATACTTGGACCAGCCTGGGACGAGGCGTGAATATTGGAATGTGAGAGTAGGGTGCTATGAATGGGGTCATTATGAAAAGGCTGATGACAGGAGTCTTTGAAAGCAGATGTGCAGTAGGTCGTGCCCCACAATGTAAAGGTCGTCTCTACCAGAATTCCATTTTGGAAGTCTCTTTCAACTCACCTCCAGCTGCACCCTCTCTGCCCTATTTCTTTTCTCCCACCTACATGAGCCTCACTTCCTAACCAGAAACAAAACAAAAAGGCAAACAACAACAACAAACCACAAAAGCACAAAAACAATTGGCAATTAGCATATTGCCAAACATACTGTCTTCCCGTTGCTTTGAATGTTAGGAGTATTTTTAAAGATGAGGTAATCTTGGGAAAAGGCCTATTTTAATTTGTTTCCTGGAGAAAGAGCTAGCCCACCCAAATATCTCTGAAGCAAACATGCATATCAAGAATACGTACTCCATTAGCCTTAGGAAAAGATCAGGTAGATGTAAAATCCCAAAATTTGTTAATCTTTCTTTTTTGTTAGTATTAGCTGAAACATTCTAAATTGCTTCCATCAGCAATACCTTTGTTTTTAAAAGTTTTACATGCTTTATATTGACCATGTTCTGCCGCCCCCCACAACATTTAGAAGAGCTAAATATATTAATAAAATCCCATAATGGAGTGAGAACTGAGTGTGGGGTTATGGGTCACTGGATTGCTATACAAAGTACATATTTTTGTAAAGTGAGATTTGTGGTGAGTTAGATGAGAATCTGTTTTAAACATACAGTAATTGAAAAAAAATCTCTATACCAGAATTCTAACCGGCTTGGCACAGTGGAATGGTATAGTTTTGTCTTTGTATCAACAACATGCATGGTGTGGGGAAAGGGCTTTCCCCTCTTTCTCCTCCAGGGCGTTAATTTTCTTGCCAATAAAATTAGGGCTTATGTGTGATGATCTGTCATGTCTCACTCAGTTCTAAAAGTCTAAATTGTTACCAACTCTAATTTCCTAAGTCATCCCAGGTCCAATGGCGCTAGGGTAAATTCTTAAGACAGTATGAGTTCAGGTAGAGTGCTATGTTGTAAGGAAGAGATTATTTGTAATCTAGAGATTTAGAGACTCAGACTAATAGAAAAACTAGAAAGGTAAATCACAAACCAATGGTAATATTTTATTAATATATTAATATGATCCTTTCCTATATGTTGAATTCCTAGAATATTATTTCAACCACATTTTATCTCATCAATATCCAAAAAAGGCTATCAAGGCAATTATGACATACATCCACTTGGCTGACTCTCGGCCCTAGTGTAATCTTATTTTGCTCTTCCTACCTAAAATTCGAATTTGAGAAATATGACTGCATTGTCAGTTGTTACCATGACCTTTAGACATAAAAGAAGTCCATAGAGAAAGAAAAATATTCTTTGAGGTGTAAAATAATACCAAACAATACAAATGTCCCAAATAACACTCTGTTTTATTTTAAATAGTGGTGAAATGACTTCTGTAAAATTTTCTCCAGAATAGATATGACATTGAATTGAAAAAATTAGCATAGTATTAAATATTCAAAATGTTAAGCAAAGGAGAACTAGCAGAAGAGCAGAGGGGGAGGAGAAGGTGAAATTTAACGAATTCACTTGCTCTATTTGTCTTTTCAGGCTTCTGCAAGAACATTCTTCATGTCAACCTCACTTGTATCCTGTTTTAAGCAGAGAGACTCTTCCATAGCTGCCCTTCTTAGAAAATCTGATAAAGCTTCTTTTGGATTATTTTATAAGTGCCCAAGGTGATAAAAAGTCTGTGCGGTAGCCAACTGCATTCACGTGAACCATAAACACAGAGCCCGTATGGCCCACGCCCATTAGAAGTGGAAAATAATATGTCATTTAGATCTGTACACTTATCATTTATGATCATTCTTGAAACTAGAGATGAAATATAAAATAAAATATACAGATCTATATTGTTTTCTGGGATTTCAGGGAATGATACTGTATAGGGCAGCAGCAGTATGTTTGTTACTCACTCAAACACCTTTCGTTAGGTGGCTGACTAGTAGCCATGTGCTGCCCTAGATCCTGAGGATGAGAAGCAAATAAGGAACAGTCACGGTTTCCATGCTGTCCTCCATTTCCATGTATTCATTTAAGTAAAGGTCAGATGTGTCATCAGTGCCCACTGATGAGAGAAGATGCGGATGAGAAACTCAGGAAGAGCAAGGTCATGACTCCGTTCTCCCAGCCCTATTTTCCCTACCTCATATCTTCAGTTTGCACCGCATAAAAGCTAATTGCAGAAAGGCAGAATGAGGTAAAAGAATGAAGTGTCTCCCATCCAAGTACTCAACAATCCCTTTGTATAGCCAGTAGATACAAGACACCGAATGTTCTAACCGGGTAAGTGGTCACAGTGACTAGTCTGAAGCTTAAAGGAAAGATGTACACAGCCTGTTTGCCAAGGGACCGAAAGAGATTGAGCACCTCTATCAGCTTGAAACCACCATTTTGTTGTGCCAGCAACAGGTTATTAATTTCAACAAATTTATCGAATACAGCCACTACATTTGAACGGACACACTCAAGGTGGGGTGAATAGCATGGGTTACAGCTTACTCTTGAGATTGGCAAAGATGGAAAGTTGGAAAACACATTTCTACATGGAAAATGGCATAGAAATTCTAATCCAATGGCGGTATCGATGAGTGCTTTACGTTCCTAAGGAGAAAACATTAATTTTCTTTCCAATCTGTAACAGAAACTTTGACTGATGGAAATGTTCCCTTTAAAATCTTCTCTCAAACCAGGAAATCTTACTGTAAGTGATTTTTTTCTCCTTCTAAAGAAGCAAATTTTTACTGGACTAGAACACAAACTGTTTTTATTTGCATATGTATTCTTTCTGATGCAAACATGACTATTTCTATTCTAGAAATATTTATAATCCAGG